AGTGAAATCTTGCCATTTGCAATGACATGGATGGAAGTAGAGAGGGTGTTATGCTAAGCGAACTAAGTCAATCAGAGAAAGATAATTATTATATGATCTCATTCATATGTGGAATTTAAGAAAACAAAGCAGAGGATCAAAGGGGAAGAGGCGAAAAAATAAAACAAGACAAAACCAGAGGGAGACAAACCATAAGAGACTCTTAATCATAGGAAGCAAACTGAGGGTTGCTGGAGGGGAGGGGGTGAGGGGTGGGATAACTGGGTGATGTATGTTAATGCGGGCATGTGATGGAATGAGCACTGCGTATTATATAAGACTGATGAATCACTGACCTCTACTTCTGAAACTAATAATACAGTATATGTTAATTAACTAAATTTAAATTTTAAAATAAAATTAAAATTAAAAAAAAGAGTTGGAGGCCTAACTGACTCAGCCACCCAGATGCCCCGTTACCATTTTTATTATATATATATATATATCTTAAAGATTTTATTTATTTATTTGAGAAAAAGAGAGAAAGAGCACAAGAGGGGAGAGGGTCAGGGGGAAAAGTAGGCTCCCCACTGAGCCGGGAGCCCGACATGGGACTCGATCCCAGGACTCCAGGATCATGACCTGAGCGGAAAGCAGTCACTTAAACAACTGAGCCACCCAGGCACCCTTTTTTAATATATATTTTATTTTACAGAGAGAGAGAGAGAGAGAGAAAGAGCACAAGCAGGGGGAACAGCAAGTAGAGCGAGAGGGAAAAGCAGGTTCCTCACTGAGCAGGGAGCCTGATGCTGGGCTCAATCCCAATCATGACCTGAGCCAAAAGCAGACACTTAACCAACTGAGCCACCCAGGCGTCCCTTATTATATTTTCTTAATTGTGATGATTCAATCAACCATGTCACATGGTTAAGATTAAGTAATCTGAAGGTTTCTTTCTTGTATCACAAAGGCACAAGAAGGAATGCTGCACTTCCAAGACAATTTGTCAAACTTGTAACTTAAAAACTGGGAAGAATACATGAAATACTGGAGTGAACTGATCACCAAAATAAGTTAAATAAAATGTAACAGAAATAAGTAAACAGTGCCAAATTTAGGTCCAAAAGATCATTATTTAATACAAGGACCTTGGGTAAACAGCAATACTTTATTTTAAAAAAATGACTCTGGAGATGCCTGGGTGGCTCAGTTAAGCATCTACCTTCGGCTCAGGTCATGATCCCAAGGTCCTGGAATCGAGTCCTGCATCGGGCTCCTTGCTCAGCGGGGAGCCTGCTTCTCTCTCTGCCTGCTGCTCCCCCTGCTTGTGTTCTCTCTCTCTCTGAAAAATAAATAAATAAAATCTTTATTTAAAAAAAAAACAAACACAAAAAATGACTCTGGATTTACTGAGGGAAAAAGAAAATTATTATTTACCAGAGAGAGCATTTGTGAACTACTGAAGAGCAAAAAAGAACCCATATTCAAAGAAGATAAGAGAAAAAAGTATGTGCTCATTGACAGAATAGTGTAATGGTAATACAGTATAAAATTTAGAAGGCAAAAATAAACTGAGAATGTTCTATAAGGATATGCTCTATAAGACCAGAAGTTGCAGATATTATCTGTAATACAGAAATTGGATTAGAGCTGCAAAGAAAATTTTAAGTACCTGTTAACATTTCAGGATAATCTAAAAGAGGGATCAGCAATCTATAGTCTTTAGTCCAAATCCAACTTATCACCTGTTTCTAGATTACTAGTTTCTACTGGAGAATGTTTTTACAGATGAATATTTGTGAGCAACTTGTTAGAAAACATCAACTTTTAACTCTAGTTAAGAAAAATGCCACTCCTAAAAAGAAATTCCATTCCTCTCATGGATTTGTATTGCAAAAAATTTTACTCATTTATTATATTTTAAACTTCATTACTAAAATTTTTTGTGAGAATTTTTCTTTCTTGTTATCTAAATACCTCTATAATATCTTTGATTTTGCCTCTTGTCCTGCAAAGCCTAAAATATTTACCATTTGGGCCTTTACAGAAAAAGTTTGCCAATATTTTGTTCTCTTAAACACTACAGATGGGGTCAGTGGAGACCACTAAGGACTCACCAGACCAGTAAATTAAAACTAACCTCCTTAGTGAGAAAAAGTTGGTGGTGAACTAGGCTGTAGTTTCTACAATTTACTCGAAGCAAACAGAGCTTGTCAATTAGTTAGATATATGTTCATTTTACTAGGGAATCTATGTTTTTTTTCTAAAGAATTTTTTTATTTATTCATTTGAGACAGAGATACAGAGAGAGCAGGAGCAGTGGGGAGAAGCAGAGGAAGAGGGAGAAGCAGACTCCCTGCTGAGCAGGGAGCCTGACGTGGGACTCAATCCTAGAACCTAGAGATCATGACCTGAGCCAAAGGCAGGTACTTAACCATCTGAGCCACCCAGGCACCCCGGGAATCTATGTTTTAAAACACAGTATGCTTATTGTATTATTCTTAAAATACACCCTATTATTTTTATTTTTTTAAGATCTTATTTATTTATTTGACAGCGAGAGAGGGAACACAAGCAGCGAGGGAGGGGGAGGGCCCGATGCGGGGCTCGATCCCAGGATTCCGGGATCATGACCTGAGCCGAAAGCAGATGCTTAACCGGCTGAGCCACCAGGCACCCCAAAATACACCCTTATTTAAAGATTTTATTTATTTATTTATTAGAGAGAGAGAATGAGACAAAGAGAGAGCATGAGAGGGGGGAGGGTCAGAGGGAGAAGCAGGCTCCCCGCTGAGCAGGGAGCCCGATGTGGGACTCAGTCCCAGGACTCCAGGATCATGACCTGAGCCGAAGGCAGTCGCTTAACCAACTGAGCCACCCAGGCGCACCCTTATTTAAAAAATACACTTTTATTTTTAAAATGCTAAATCTAGAACCTCAATCAAGTATTGTTTATGGACAGAACATCTGAATTTAGATGCCCCTAATGAGCCTCAAACAATCACTCAGACATAACTGAAGCATAAGACTACATAAAAGTAAGAAAAAGAGGGGCGCCTGGGTGGCTGTTGTTGGGCGTCTGCCTTCGGCTTAGGTCATGATTCCAGGGTCCTGGGATCGAGCCCGGCATGCGGCTTCCTGCTCCGTGGGAAGCCTGCTTCTCCCTCTCCCACTCCCCCTTCTTGTGTTCCCTCTCTTGCTGTGTCTCTCTCTCTAGTAAATAAATAAAATCTTCAAAAAAAAAAAAAAGTAAGAAAAAGAATTGCTTATTTAAAGTAGATTTATTTGGACATGGTGACACAATATATACCGTAAGACCACATCTAACTATTAACTCAAGGATCCTGAATTTATCTGAAAAATAGTCAAGAACACAGGTAGAAGCAAAATGAACTTTGAGAAATCCAAATGTCACAAAGTCTATGCACTGAAGCACATGCACCTAAGAGAGATGGTTAGTCCTTAGTCATAGCTTCCATGTTCTAACTGCACATAATTCTATTAAGTTTAGAAATGGTTTTCAAAGCAGCAGCAAACCAGAAATCTCAAAATAAAGTTGGGAGAAGAGAGGCTGCTGACAGCAACAAAAACAGGGATTGTCAATATATAACAAAACATGATGAGGAATAGTCTGCCAGCAACAGAATAGGTAGAAAAGCTAAAAAGCAGACATAAAACATGAAGCGTGTAGCAGTGTAGAATAAATTAGTAAGAAAGTGAAAGAAAGTAAAGGGCGCCTGGGTGGCTCAGTAGGTTAAAGCATCTGCCTCAGGCTCAGGTAATGATCCCAGGAATGGGCTCCCGGCTCACTGGGGAAATCTGCTTCTCCCTCTGCCTTTCACCCTGCTCATGCTCTCTCTCTCTCAAATAAATAAATAAAATCTTAAAAAAAAAAGTGTAAAATAAACTAGTATAGAAGCAAATAGTCCAAAATGTCTCAATAGGCCCTGAGTACAACCCTGTATTATGGAATATTTCGGAATTGATAATAATTGTATTGATCTCAGGATAAAATGTAGATAAAATTGCAATACATATAATCCGTGTAGTAAAGCGGGGACCAGAGAAGTACACTGCCCAAAGAGTTTCAAACAAAGTGGTTAAAATGAAAGTCTGGTGCTTAAGATAGACAAACGAAAATTAACAAAAATTAACATGGTCGTTGACAGCTTAAGTGTATTAATTTACTTGATAAATTATGTTTCAAACACAATAATATTTAATTCCGTTTTCCTAAAGACAAAAATAGTTACTTAACTGAGTAGTAAGAGACAAACTGAACAATTCTGAATTACTGTCCATAAAGTAGGATCAAAATCACCAGAAATATAAGGGTCGAAGTACAGTTCATCCTTAAACGCTAAGAAATTAGTCTTTACATGTTTGGCATAGGAGAAAGGTATGCTCGTTTTGTACAGGTTTTACTTGCTAACGAAGTATCAAAAAGTTATCACGCAATTAAGTCAATACTAAGAGAGGTTTCTTCAAGTATCAATTAAAACCATCATTTCGGAACTTTTGTGAAACGTGTAAGTGATGAGCTCCGTAGAGGAACGCAGAATGCAGTGGTTTAATGGCTGCGACACTGTTGGGAGTGAAGGTCCAAGAGCAGTGTGAATTTCTCTAACACCTTCACCAGAACTCGCTGCTCATCGCGCCGCGCGACGAATTTTCTTTCCTCAGCAGCAGGAGCACATCATCCGGTCTCGCGCGACCGGCCACAGCCTCCCGCCGCCCTGAATCCCACGTTCGGGCCCGTGAGGCTGACGCCGGGAAAGGGGCCAGTGGCAATAGTGCAGGAAGGTGAGGGGGCCTTCCCCCAACATCCGCTCACCTGCTTCCGGCTGTGCCGTCCTCTAAGAGTGGCTCCTGCTCTGCCTCGATTCCCAGGCTCGCCATAGTTACACACACGAGGCGGTGTGAAGCCAACTCTCGCGACACCTCCTGCTCCCTCCCATCCCAGTTGGCCAAAGCTGTCAAAGCAAGTCAGCAAGTGCGCGTGCGTGCCCGGCAGCTGGAAGTGGGCGGAGCGCCCCGAGGTCAGAGAGGGAGTTACGGGGGAGTCCGGACCGCGTGGAGCGGGAAGAAATCAGGAGTGGGGCCCTGTGTCCTAGCCCTCCTCCTCAGGTCCGCGTTTCTCGGCCACCCGGGACTGCTTGGGAGACAACCGGGGCGGGTTCAGGGCGTGTCCAAACGGCTGCCCCGCCCCGGGCTCGTCCCTCTCCCTAGGTTTGGCTGTCTGGGCCTCTAATTGGGTTCCTGGAGAGGTTGCTGTCACTGCATTTGTGGCTCCGACGGAAGGCAAGTCCTAGGAGCCAGGGGAAGGACAGCGCCAGGAGGCTCGGCTGGCTGGACGGCAGGTGCCCTAAGAACCGACAGTGAGTAAGAAGCCGGTCCAGGTGGCGCTCCCCGAGCCTCTCGACACACTGCGTACGTGCCCGGAAGCAGGGACAGGGGACGCAGGGCTTGGCGGGAGACGCGGAGGTCCCGGGCGCTGGACGAGGCGGGGCTTTAGGGCGCGCTTTGGCCGACCCGGGTGAGTTAGGCTGGCGGGCGGTCTCTAATCCCTGTGGAAGGTGGAATTGTCTTGGCGCTGTTGTTTTCTCGCTCGGCTAACTACAAAGGCTAACTACCTTTCCTGTAGTGCCTTGTTCTAATCTGGGGATCCTCAGATCGGCCTCTCACTGTCTCCTGCGCCTACTGGGGGATTCAGTCTTGCAAGATACCACTAGCAGACCCTGCTGCTGTAATCTAGGGTTTAGAAAAGGCCCAGCACCAATTTAGCAGTGACCAGCACCTTTCATCATAAAGAAAATGCCATTTTTAGAAAAAAACTTGTGTTTTGTTTTGTTTTGTTTCAGTAGATCTTGATGCTGTCTCTTTCCTGGTGCTTACATATTATGTTACTTTTCTACAAGTAGGCTTGTAAGGTAGTTGGTAGCAGTAGTCATTATGTGTGTCATTGTTTTATTAGTGCTAGTACATTCTCATGCGATTTCACTTGATTACAACTTTCCTATGAGTTAGATAAAGCAGACACATTTCTATTTTATAGAGAACTAAGATTCAGAGAAGTTGACAACTTACCCAGAGTCACTTGGACTGAAAGTGGCAGAGTTGGGACTCAATTCACTTCTTTCAACCAATATTTATAAGCAGTTAACCTATGCCAGACCCTATATTAGTTATTTGTTGTGTAGTATGTGCCATCACTTGTAACCTTTGTCTTGTTTGTGACCTTCTTGTGTTTATCCTGTCAGGGACATTCCACTTGTGAGCAGCTAAATTTGAAATGTGTTTTCTGTTAGTTCAGAACTATTTTCAGAATCCAGACCTGATATTTTGTGCTTGGATTCAGTCTTGCAAATTTGTTTGTAACAGCTCAAAAAACTAACCAGATTCCTATGACTGGTTCCTAGAAGGTATATAGGTTAAAAAAAAATTAATATCTATTTTTTTGCCATAATGTTGCTTTAATGTGTCATTGACTTCTTTTCTAATCCCCGAAGTCTAGCATGAGTGCCTGTGTGTGTGTGTGTGTGTGTGTGTATTTCACAAAGGGACTTTTAACCGGGATTGCACCAAGCAGAATAATTGCTAGATAAATATATGTTGAGTGAGTGCTTATTCATTTGCCTCACTTAATCCCTACAACAGTCTTCTGAGCTGGGATTGTGTCAAGCATACAAGGAAAGCGAAAGCATGGAGAATAATTTTCCTAGGGTCACACCACGAATAAGTAGCAAAGCAAGAATCCAAGAAACACAGGACTCCTGAATGTAAAGCCAGTGCTTTTTCACCAGCAGCCTTACTATGAAAAGAATTTTAAGAAGAATCTTTTCCTGTATCTCTTAAAATATATTAAAACAGGTGATCAATTTTTATATAAATTGAATAATTTTCTACTGTGTGTATAATAGGCCGGTTATTATTCGCCTTTTATAGATTAAGGTGGCATCAAGGTCACATAGCTAGTGAAGGAACCCAGGTCTTCTGACACTGCTATTTTCCATTGCTACCTCCAAGTGATGGCTTTAGACCATGAAAGTACATGGAATGAGTGTGTAAAACCGGTGAAATCTAAATAAGCTCTATGTATTGTACCATAGGGAAAAAAACAAAGAAAAAAATCATTTCTTAGGAACAGTGCACCTACACAAAGTAAACATTTAAGAAATCTTTTAAAAATCATAATTACTTTCTTTAAAGCCCATGGAAAAGAAGAGCTAAGTTTGAAAAGAGATTAGATTATTTGCTGAATGTTTCACATGATGATATGAGACAATCACCTGTTGAATTTCCTTAGATGACTGCTTAGAATAGATGTCCACCCCTCAAAACAAATGAACAAATAAACTTCCTATTTATGTATCAACTTTATGAGGATAAAAATCCAGAAAAAAAATTAGGATTGCATTGTGTAAATGCTTAAGTATTAGAGTGATAGGAGATAAAAGTACTATATGGCATACAGACACTGAGTGCCACTTTAGCAATAGAGCTCATTTCTAGGAAAGACTTCATTCCTTGGCACTGTGATAGAACTTCTACTTTTGTAGAAGCTTATTTTTGTAGAAGTACTTTGAGTTTTCATTTGGCATTGGCTATATAAAAATATAGATGACAGGGGCGCCTGGGTGGCTCAGCTCTTAATTGTCTGCCTTCAGCTCAGGTCATTATCCCAAAGTCCTGGGATCAAGCCCCGCATTGGGCTCCCTGCTCGGTGGGAAGCCTGTTTCTCCCTCTCCCACTCCCCCTGCTTGTGGTCCCTCTTTTGCTGTGTCTCTCTCTGTCAAATAAATAAATAAAATCTTTAAATATAGATAGATAGATAGATAGATAGATAGATAGATAGATGACAGTTATCAGTTTGGCTTGATACATACTTCAAAAATAGGTCTGTCTCTGCAGAAGCTCACTGGTGTCAATCCAGCCTGATGTAGGTGCTTTAAGTATCTGATGTGGCTCTAAATAGTGCCTCTTTTTGGTGAACTGGAGTTATCTTTACTCTGGACTTGGATTATTATCTGTTCATGGTGGCACGGGATAGCAGTTAGCCCTACCTAGACTTATGTGTTTAGAACGTCCCAGAAAACCTGGACGTTAATATTGTTGTTGGGACTGAAATGGAATTTAAGAAGTTCTTTGTAATCCTCAACTCTATAGCCAAACTTACAGCAGGTTATGTGTGTGTTTGATTTACATTCTATAACTTACTGGTCAGTGGTTCACTGCAGGTAAATATAGCAAGGGATATGCTGGCTCTGGATTTGAGGTGTTGATTGTTATGGCCCATATTATATGGAATTAAAGTGATTTGGAAAGCTTTTCTGGTATAGGGTTGAAAATTAGAAATGACTAAACAACTTAGACGTATAATAAACAATGCTACTTTACAAAGTATTCGAAGAGTTCGTTGTTCTCATGTCCTTTCCTGCTTCTCTTGAATTTTTTACTTTTGTATATTTGCCTTTGATTACCATCTTAGAAGAATATTGGGTAGAAAAATGGGATGTTTCATGAACAGTTTTCTTCTTACTGTAAAATACAAGTGTTGGAATTTTGGGGTTATTTATTTATTTTAAAGATTTTATTTATATATTTGACACAGAGCGAGCACAAGCGGGGGAGCGGCAGGCAGAGGGAGAGGGAGAAGCAGGCTCCCTGCTAAGCAAGGAGCCCAATGGAGGACTCAGTCCCAGGACCTTGGGATCATGACCTGAGCCGAAGGCAGCGGCTTAACCAACTGAGCCACCCAGGTGCCCCAGAATTTGGGATTTTTTAATGCTAATATGGAATCTGCTATTGATGCTTTTATGTTACAAAGGAAGACGTTAACCCCCATCCTTTTCCAGCCACTATAGAGAAAATAAATGGCCCATGATGATATGTTATGTGGCAGAGTTGATGGGATGACACTCCCATGGTTACATTAAGTTATATTAGACTCTGCCTTGCTAGAACACTCAGTCTCACTCTCCTGTTGGCTTTGAAGAGGTAAGCTGCCCTTTTGTGAACGTGTGTGGAGAGAGTCACGTGGTAGGGAACCATGGATAGCCCCTAAGAGCTCAGATTGGCCTCTGGCTGACAAATAGTAAAATATTGAAACTCTCAGCCCTATAGCTGTGAAGAAATGAATTCTGCTAACAAGCTGAGTGGGCTTGTAAGCAAGTTTTTCTCCAGTCAAGCTTCCAGATGAGAATACAGCCCAGCTGACACCTTGATTGAAGCTAGATGAGACCCTAAAGCAGAAAACCCATGTAGGCTGGGTTCTTGGAAACTAATCCTCAAGAAAGGGGAATTGAGAAGATGGGGGAAACCAATTAAAGAGATCTGTTCTTCAAATTCTTCTATTTAAAGGCATTAGTGAGGTGTTTAGGTATTTAAATTATGCCGTAGCATTTTTCTGAAGAGAATAATACATGCTTTGAGTTCTGTTCTTAGATCAGTAGGATAATGAACTACTTATACTTATTGAGAAAGTTACCAAGAGGGAAAGAAAGTATCAATTAACTTCTGAAGAGTTTTGTAGAGAGACTATCAAATTAACTCCAGTTTCTAAATTTTTCCATTATTTTTATTGTGGTAAAATATACATCATATAAAATTTACCATCTTAACCATTTTTAAGTGTACAGTTCAGTGGTATTAAGTTCAGTCATACTGTTGTGCAAACATTAACCACCATTCATCTATAGAACTCTTCATCTTGCAAAACCAAAACTCTCTACACATTAGACAATACCCACCCCTTTTCCTGTTCCCTCAGCCCCTGGTAACCACCATTCTTCTTTCTGTTTATGAATCTGGCTGCTCTAGGAACCTCATATAAGTAGAATCGTACAGTATTTGTTTTTTTATGACTGGCTTGTTTAACTTAGTGTAATGTCCTCAAGGTTCTTCCACATTGTAGCATATGTTAGAATTTCATTCCTTTTTAAGGCTGAATAATATTCCATTGTATGTATACTCCACATTTTGCTTATCTATTCATCCATTGACAGACATGTGAGTTTTTTCCACCTTTTAGCTACCAAATTACAAATTTTAAGAAGGCAGACAAAACACAGCTAATTAAATAACTAATGTTTGTTTTAGATAGAATACTAATTTTAGGTCTACCTTGTGACATGTTTAATTCTTTTAAAATCAATATTTACATTTTACCTATACCATTTTATAGGATTGGATAATTTATCATTTTAATGTAGTGTTTTATAGTTGTATTTTTGCATTTGTGACATTATTGTGGCATTTGTGACATATCTATGATTTATTTGGTTTTTCTAGCCCACGGGTCAGCAAACTATGGCCTATGGGCCAACCTGCCTGCTTTTGTGTGGGCCATAAACTAAGAACAGTTTTTACACATGAACATTAGTACTCAATTTGGTGATAAGGGCACTAACTTTGAACCCCCATTACACAAAATCCCAAGAAAAGAATTTTACTCCTCTCATTTCTAGACCTATATTACGAAAGATTGCTTATTATTATTATTATATTTTGAATTTCCTCAAAAATTATGTGAATATT